TTGTGAGTCTGTGTAGTTCTGAAAAGAACAGGAAGGTATTCATGTTTAGGACAGTATATGCCGTCCACAGGAGACTACAGAGATTCCAATGATGAGGGAAGTGCGAGAAGACGGACCTCCCCACCAGACTCAATGAAAACAGAGCCCATGGCAGGAAAGGAGAATTTGAAAAGTCAGTCATCATCAAGTACTCCCACACCGACGACCACCAGATCAACTGGAGCCAAGCCGAACTCATCACCAGCATTGTATATTATGATCCTCGCTGCATGAGAGAAGCCATCGAAATCTCAAACACAACACAGTTCCCCAAGACATTGGTTTCAACATCAGCGACTTCTGGCGCCCATCCTTACATCCCAGTCCAATGGGTCTCCTATAACCTAGGACATGTTCCCAGCCTATGGGTCTCCTATACCCTAGGACATGTTCCCAGCCTATGGGTCTCCTATAACCTTGGCAACCTTCCCCCTCCGCACGCTCCCCTCCTGTAGATTGACACATCACTGATCATCTGGAATCTCATGTTCTTCTCTAACGCGCTTAGTTGTATCCTGAGTTAGCATCCTCTTCACATCAGACACCAAATAAGCATGGAGGAAGGACACAACTCTGGCACTTCAAAGTGCTCGATGATCGTCGCCGCCCAGCCAACGAATAAAAGAAACGAAGGCATGAATGGTCACTTTCCTATACTTCATTACATAAAAATTTAAGGATGCAGATTGCCAGCGGAAAGATTGCAGCGGCGATCATATGATACGAAGGGGTGTGGTTGTGAAACAGCTGCAGCCGATTTCACGAGACGTGAAATACTTTGAACCATGGGCAAGCCTTGCACCACAAATTTATGCCGTAGCTGTGCAATGGACTGACATTCGATTTCACAAAGAGTTGCGCTGCACCACGTTTAAATGATGTTGAATTCTTAGACGATGACAAAAACGGCTTTTACGACGGCTGTTCCTTTTGGTATAGTCATCAAACAGTCGTTGAATAACGTCCACCCTCCATTTTGAAAAGGTTTTCGTCTTTTCTTCGTCGGAACCGGACAAAAAGTGTCGCAGCCAAACAAGTTTATGATTATTTTTACTTTGTGTCTCGTATAAGCCTTGTCAAGGTCAGCAATAATGAGGCTTCGCTTCGTTGGGCGCAACTTAGTAGGCTACGCCTCCTAAAAATCACTGCGTAAGTTTCGCCACAATTTACGTTAGGCGCGGACTTAAGGCGCCTTTCCATCTGTACGTTTTTTGTTTTGTTCTGTTTTGTTTTGTTTTTGTTTTTTGTTTTTGTTTTTTTGGTGCGTTGCATACACAATAATGTTCATGCGTTTGACTCTTGCGGACTGACACTCCGACACACGTGTGCGTTGCATTCGGCTATCAAAATCGCTCCGGTTCCGTCATGGGTAGCTTTTTTGCGTCCGTGAAATTTTAACGCATTAACACATCGTGTACGCAATGCACCCAAAAACGCACATATGGAAAGCTGGCTTTACGTAGTGCGCAAGTTTCGTGAAATTGGTCTTAATTTATTGCGCTATTACGCTATTACGTAAGTGGAGTTACTACACCTCAAAAATATTCATCAGAGTGTGGCGAAACAGGGTAGCTGCGCAGGCTTGTGTTTAGTCTGGGTCATTAATAATTCAGGCACGTCTTAATCATGCATTAAACATGCGCGCGGCAACCAATCAGAGGCGCGCATTACCTTAGGTCTGGGCGCTGGCTGCGTGGGTTGCCAGGACTTCTCAAGATGGCAGCGTGCTAACCAGAGCTCTGTGGAGTTGTGTTGTTTTCTGAGTTTCGAGAGAAAA